CCTCTCCCAATCTATTCCTGTTGGGTTTCAGCTGTTGGTAGCACGAATTGGCATTTACTAATCCCCTCAGACCATTCAAGGCCAGGATGAGGCAGCCTGAGATTCAAACACAGCAGAGCATCATCCATATTCCAGACTCCAAAGGTCACACTTGAGAGAGGCTTGAAAAAATGCAAGAGAAGTCCAAAGAGAGGCCATGGGAAGCTTCCTCCCCCAGAACCCCAGGAGCTGCTCAGAGGCAAGCTCCCCCACCTTGGACCTACTGAGGGTCTACCCTGCCTCTAGGAGAGGGCAGCTTCCTCCTGTATTCCTGCAGCCAAAATCTCCATTGAGAGGTCTCTTTCGGGGGCCATGCCTTCTTTCCGGTTGGGCGTTGGGCCTGGACAGTTCCTGGCTGGCTGCAGCTGCGCCCTCACACCTGTTGGTCCAGCTCCCCTGCTTCACAAACACGCCCCCGCCAAGTTCAGTGCTGCTTCCAGATGGCTGGTCACTTATGCCTTCACTCCACTTTGGGCCTTTTTCGTTCTCATTTGATTTCTTTTCCTTATCTTGTTTTCTTCCCAGGCATCTGCGTATTCTTTCTCTCTACCCCACCCCGCCATCATTATCTTTCTCTCCCTCTCATTGGTTCTCTTGTCTCTCTGCAATGAATACATTTCTTTCTGCTCGGGTCTGTCTTTTTTCCTCTGACTCCAGTCCAACCAGGTATCAATACAGCACTAACTTTCTCTTCTATAACAGTGAGTGACAAATTCAAATGAGGTCATCTCTCCAGTCCCTACCAGCTCTGACATTCAGTTTTGAGGAAAGGTGAGAACCTGAGGGCAGGGAGGCGGGGTACACAATCAGAGTGGGGAAAGAAAGATTGAACTGGGAAGAACAGATTCAAATGGCAGCATCCTCACTTCCTGGCTATTTGACCTCAGCAAAGCCATCCATCTCACCTCTCCAAGCCTCCTTCCTTTTTCTATAAAATGTGATCAGGAGCTGGGCACCGTGGCTCATGCCTATAATCCCAGCATTTTGGGATGCCAAGGCAGGCAGATCACTTGAGGTCAGGAGTTCAAGACCCAGCCTGTCCAACATGGTGAAACACCGTCTCTACTAAAAATGCAAAAAATTAGCTGGGCATGGTGGCGCGTACCTGTAATTCCAGCTACTCAGGAGGCTGAGGCAGGGGAATCACTGGAACCCAGGAAGAAGAGGTTGCATTGAGCTGAGATTGCGCCACTGTACTCCAGCCTGGGCGACAGAGCAAGACTCTGTCTCAGGGGAAAAAAAAAAAAACTGATCAGGGAAGACCTGATAGTAACAGTGACAACATTCTAAGGAGTGAGGAAGGTGTGTGGTAATTGACTTTGCTCATGGATGGGAAAGGCCTTTTTGAACTATAAGGGGCAAGTCCCTACTGGCAATGAGCATTACTTAGGGGACAGTGAGGCCCCGTGGTCACCAGCAGAGGCTCTGGGACCAGTCAGCCTGGCTAAGATTCTCGGCCCAAAACATACAAGGTGTATAACCTTGCCAAGCTGCCTAATATGTCTGTGCTTTAATTTCGCTTTCAGTAAAATAGGGATGAGGTAATAATAGTACTGACTTAACATCTGAGGTTGTTGGAGTATTTAATGAGAGAATAAGCCCGGAGCACTAAGAACAGAGAGGATCTGTCACCTAATAAGTGTTCAGCGACCATTCCCACTGATGTTATTATTCAGAGCTAGTAGGAAGAAGGTGGTATACTCAGGGGTGCTAGGCCACTGCAGAAACCTAAGAAAGCCATGCATTGACCCAGACTCATCTCTTTGCAAGGCCTCAAAGTCTGTTTGTGCAGGTTGTGCCTTGAAATTCAGCTTGTGTTCCTCTGGCAAAGCCATGGGCCCAGGGGTGAGGGTTGGTTCTAATTACTCCTCCCAGAGGAGGCACCTTTTTGTAATTAGTACAAGGAGACTGTAGGCACTAGCTGAGGCACTCTCCCTGCATCTAGGCAGGAAAGTGCTACCTTGGGTAACCAGGCCTGTGGTCCTCTCTGCTTGCCTGGCGGCAGAGTTGGCACCCTGACCCCCTGAGATACCCCAGATTCTTAATCCATCTCCAGCTCTGATCTTGTCCCCAGGGGACAAGTCTCTGGCTGTGGAGATCTGTGGAAATCTTTCCAATCCCCCAGGTTGTGCATGCGAAATGACTCCTGACCACAGTCACTCAGCCATGTTTGTCCAGGCTAGCCCCCCAGCCCGGAAGTTAAGGGCCAAGAGAGGCAATAGGGGCCAATGGTCCAAGCTGGGAGACTTCTCCATGCCAGTGGAGACTCTGATTGAGGGCAAAGTGGGATCCATGGATGAATGGAAGTGTGAGGCCTCAGCGGAGATGGGATTAGGAGGATAAGAGGGCTGGGCCCCAAGAAAGGAGAGTCCAGGGAAGTGCCCCTAGCGTGGAGATGAGACTCAGGGCAAAGGGCTGCCAAATCTCTCAGGGCTTAAGCCAAGGAAGCAGTTTCAGCCTGTTGCTGCAGGGAGCAGGGCCAGACTGAAGTGGTCTCACCTTTTTAAGGATAAAGTAAGCTGGGGGACACTGTGCTGGCCTGACAATGGCATGTGGCTAAAAAAGGAGAGCAAACAAGACCCCAAAGGCTCATGTTCTAGAAGCTAAAGTGAAACCAGGGAAGGCCTGGCATGCTTGAGGCGTAGCCAAAATGTATTTAGCATTGTGAGATGAGGCCCCTGTCACTCCCTGGCATGGGGAAATTTATGGACTGAGATCCTCTCACACTGCCCTTTAAATATTTGAAGCACGTGTCCATGATTGTGCTGGGATGGAGGGGCTGGAGAGGGCACAGGGATGGCTGCAGCGAAAAGCCAGCATCCCCCAAGCCCCTTGAGGAGAAAGCCCCTGTTTGTGCCACAGAGAGAGGCAGGGGAAACTTCCCCACAGTTTGGCTGAAAGTCATCCTGCCGATTGCTCTTTTTGACACAACCTCACTTTCTTTCCAGTCCTATATTCCTGGCTGTGTGTGAGCTATTTCCACTTGGATGTTCTGCCAACAGCTTAAACTAAACATGCTTAAAGCAGAGTTTCTCTTCCCCCACAAAGCCTCACACCTTCCCAAGGCCTCCAGCCTCAATGCTGACACCCAAACAGCCCAGGGCCAGACCTGCTGCTGCTTCTCTTTCTCCCCTACACCAGCACCTCTCTCCCTCCCTGCCTTTGAACCCCGGGCTTCTCCCTGGGTAACAGTTTTCAGAGTCATCTTTGCTGCTGCTGTCTCCCACCTGCACCTCATCCCTGGAGATTACTGCCCCAGCCGCTAACTGGAAACCTCCCTCAAGACGTCTCCTTCGACCTGGGCCACGCATCAGTTCTGGCCATATGTGTTGACCATTTACTGCAATGGGTGTGGTGAAGCATCCATTCCAGAAGAAAGTGTGGGCACAGATAACAGGGGAGCAAGTAGCCTAGTGGGTGTTTGGCCTCAGGAGTGAGTCAGACCTGGCTGTGAATCCCAGCTCTGCCACTTACCCATTGTGCCATCTTGGGCTTGTTTCCCCTCTCTGTGCCTCTCTGTGCCTTTCTCCCTAAAATGGGGATGACAGTGTTGACTAGCTAGCGTTCTTATGAAGTTGAATGTTAGAAGGGGGCACAGAGAAGGGGCATACACTGAAATGATATCCCTGAAGGCTGGAGTGGGCAGAGCTGTGAAGATGGCCCCTAAGGATTCAAGAGGCCAGGTGGCCTGAGTTGTCTGTATATTTGTGTTTTTTCTGTTAGGCATAAATAACAGGAAATCAAGTAGGGAATCAATTCAACTAGACCCAATTCTTGGTCCTTTCCAAACTTCCCCACCCCATGTGTAAACAGGAAACCAGGGCTAGAATCTACGAAGCTGATTGGGGTGCCCGAGGATAACTTGTGATCGCTCTGCTCTCTTCTCAATTTTCTATTTCTCCAGGCCCATTCCCCTAGTAACTGATCTTGTTCCCCTCCTTCTTCATCTTCTCTTCTTTTCTTCTTCTTCCTTTTTTTTAGACATAGAAGCAAAAATGAGTGCCTGTCCAAGCCTGCTGGCCTGGGTCAGAGGAATGCGGCCGCTCCCTCCACGTGGGGCGGCCAGGCCTAGGCGCTCACTCAGGCTGGCAGGGGCAGGAGCAGAGCCAGGAAGGCTCCAGCACCTTGCTTCTAGGGGCTGGAAAGCGCTACAGACATTAGCTCATCACTCTCTGGCAGAGGCCAACCGGTCTGCTATTCTCACTAGCATCTTCCAGATGGGGAAATGGAGGCACAGGCATACTCAGAGTGGTTGCAGACTCACAGGATTCTAAGGGGGCTTCTGCGCAGAGTCTCCACATGCAGCAAAAGGAAAAAAGGGCTACCAGGACTTCCCCTAATGGATTTCTATTCCTTATGACTGTATCAGGAAAGGAGAGATATAGGGAAGGAGAACTGTGGTCCAGGCTGAAGTATCTAAAGGGGACACTGGGAAATAATGCAGGTGGGCAGGTGGGGGCAGTTAGAACCCACCATCTCCCGGGACTCCACACATGACAGGGGCCCCAAAGAGTTGCAGCTTCACTCAATAGCCCATCAGGAAAGACTAACTACTCTTACTGAGGAGATGTTTGCAGCACATAATACCTCCGAAGTAAGAGGCAACTGAGATGAAGTCTGCTTGGCCAGACACCAGAGGGTTAACTAGGATGCAGTTGGGTTGATTATTATGCTTTCCTCCTAGTGCTTGTTATTTGTAAATTCTGTGCAGTGAACAATTACATTTATAATCAGACAAAATGTTAATTATTTTTAATTATTTTAAAGAGCAGCAGCAACTGGGATATGTAGAAGAGCCCTGGGCTCTTGGAATTGCAACTGGACTATGGAGACCCATTCTTGCCTCCCAGTTGTGTTACAGGGCAAGTGACTTCATCTCTTTGAATCTCAATTTTCCGTAAAATGGAGATAACTGACCACACAGGGGTAGCATAAGATTAAAAGACATAATGTATATGAAAAATGGTTGTAAAAAAGATTTATTATGGAAATCTTAAAACATATACATGAGTAAAGAACACAATATAGGGCCAGATGTGGTGGCTCACGCTTGTAATCCCAGCACTTTCGGAGGCCGAGCCAGGCAGATCACTTGAACTCAGGAGTTCGAGACCAGGGCAACATGACAAAACCCCATCTCTACAAAAAGAGAAAAAAAATACAAAAAATGCAAAAATACAAAAAATTAGCTGGGCATGGTGGCACGCATCTGTAGTCCCAGCCACTCTGGAAGCTGAGGTGGGAGAATCATTTGAGCACAGGAGGCGAGGTTGCAGTGAGCCAAGATCACGCCATTGCACTCCAGCCTGGGTGCCAGAGAGAGACCCTGTCTCAAACAAAACAAAAAAAAACACATTATAATGAAGCCATCTTCAACAATTATTATCTTATTTAATCTATATCCCCCATCCACTTCTCCCTACCCCCAACTGGAATGTTTTAAAGCAAATCCCAGACATGCTCTTTTTTCCATAAAAACTTCAGTACCAAAGTGCCTTATACTTTTTTCATAACTAAAAGAACATCACGATTGTAGAAAATTTGGAATATGAAGAAATCACATATGAAGGAGAAAACAAAAATCACACACACACACAAAAAATCACTCATAACCTTACCACCCAGAGACTACCACATTTTGGAGTAGTTTATTATCTTTTTCTATATACATATTGGTTTTTGACAAAAGCGGGATCATATTGTATATGTTATTTTTAGGTATATTTTATATTAATTGTAAAAATAATAAAAGCAGATTACAAAAAATAGAGAGGAAATTACCCATAATTCCTTACCACCTAATATAAAAACTGTTAATATTTTAGTACACTTCTTTCTCATTTTTTCAATTTACATTCATACTCTTAACCCAAGTGGGATCTTACTGATTATGCACTTTTCAAATTATGAAGCTGTTTTAATTGTAATAAAGTAATATAATCATATTGCAGAAAAATAAAGTAAAAGAAAAATATTATCCATAATCCCACCACTCAATTATAATCACTGTTAACACCAAAAATTGTTAACAGTGATTATAATTGAGTGGTGAAATTATGGATTTTTTTCTATGCATATATATTTTTTAAAAAGTGGGAATACAATGTTTACGATGTTTATTAGCTATAAACTCATATTTACTCCTTCAAAGGGCTAAACTGGTAACAAAGAAAAAATTCATATTTACTTATAAGAATAATATTGCATAATATGGGGAAAATAGAAAAAAATCACTCATAATCCTACGACTCTACTGGAACTGTTACCATTTCAGTATTTGCCTGACCATTGCTTTCTGTACATATTCATACACAATTGGAAACATAGTGAGTATTTAATTTTGTTCCCTTTGTGCCCTTTGCAGCTTGGCATCATATTTATGCAACTTTGTACCCAGCATTTTTTAATTTCATATTTTGTTATGAATAGTTTCCTATGAATAAGAGTTTTCAAAATCAGATTTTTTTTTTCCTTAGTGTCAAGGTACCAAGGGACACTGCCATAGACATTTAGGCTCCATTTCATTTTTCACTATTATAAACAATTCTGCTGTAAATATTCTTGAATGAAAACTTGTGCTTATTAAGTTTTTTCTTTTTTTTTTTTTTTTTTTCTTTTTTTGTGATGGAGTCTCACTCCACCACCACACTGTAGTGCAGCGGCATGATCTCGGCTCACTGCAACCTTGACCTCCCGGGTTCAAGCGATTCTCCTGCCTCAGCTTCCCCAGTGGCTGGGAGTATAGGCACCTGCCACCACGCCAGGCTAATTTTTGTATTTTTTAAAAAATAGAAATGGGGTTTCACCATGTTGGCCAGGATCTCCTGACCTCGTGATCCGCCTGCCTCGGCCTCCCAAAGTGCTGGGATTACAGGAGTGAGCCACCGTGCCCAGTCTCTTTTTAAGTTTTTTCTATACACATATTGAGTATATGTTTCTGGAGACCACTCTGTAAGTTTATAGGCTGACCTATAAAAAGTGGTCACCTTTTTTTGGTCCCAAATTTACTCCTGTCATATGGCTGCAGGCAGTCCTTGATTCTGGAGGGTGGGATTTTAAGAAGAAATCTGCATTTCTCTCTCTCTCTCTCTCTCTCTCTCTCTCTCTCTCTCTCTCTCTCAATCTCTCTCTCTCTCTCTCTCTCTCTCTCTCCTTCCTGAGTTTATAGACCTCCTTCATCCCCTCTCAGTCTGATTTTTACATTAATCAGTCAGCAAGTATTACTGAACCTGAAGTGTGTGAACTGAGGCAGGGATGGGAGGCAAAAGGAAAATAATCAGAAGGCCGAGTACAATAACAGCATTTATTGGCCATTTACTACACTGCGGGCACCAATCAGGCTAAGCAACCCGCACAAAGTAGGTCCCATTGTTATTCCCATTTAACAGATGGGAAAACTGAAGCCCAAAGCATGAAGCCAGTGGTCTAAGGCCTCGCTGCTAACAAATGGCAAAGTAGGAATTTAAACCCAGGCCGACTGACCCCTGAACCTGCACTCTAGACAGCCTCCTTACCCTCCCAGGCAGGGGGAATTAGGGCTGACGGTAAAAACTTTGCAGCCAGCCGGACCCGGATTCAAACACCCAGCCAATTGGCTATGTGAATTTGGGCAATTCTCCGAGGCTCTGTTTCATCTTTGGTAAACCCTACCTCCCAGGGCTGTACTGGGAATTAAATGACATGATGGATGGGGAACGTCAGGCCCAGCGCTGGCGCACAGAGGTTCTCGGTGGGTGACCATCCCTGTGCTCTCCCCGCTTCGCAAGCTCGCGGTCTAGTTGCTAAGTTGAAGATAAGAGTTCAGCGGAGAACTCTGAGCTCTTTTGGAGCCGACGGGGAAGTCAGTGATCAGAGCATTTTTGCCGAGAAATGCAAATGTCTCCTTTGCTCCCTCTTATCCTCTTCAACTAACCTCCTCTCCCATCTCCCCAAAAAGCAAAGGGGTGGCTTTTGTGCTCCAAAACTGAGTGCTTGAAGCCTCTCTCTTTCCTGTTCCCCAGAATGAGCAGTGGAGATGACAGGAAGTCACCAGTGGGGAGGCCCTTACTGGCAAGTGGGCACTGAGAAATGTGGCGGAGGGCGCTCCTTTTTCTGCCCTTCAATGGTCCGGATGGGGGAGGGGGCTGGCTGTTGAGCAACTGCTCGGGAGACACTCCAGAAGCCGAGATGAACACATGCCTCTTTCTAACAATTGGCCTGGGAGCCATCCAATAGATGGAGGGCGGATCCACACCTCCCGGATCCGGAGCCTGCAGCGGAGACGCTGCCGCTCTTGCCAGACCCACTCCGGAGCCAAGCCAGGACTGACCGGGAGGGTGGGTCAAATACTAATGCACTATTCGAAAGGCTAGAGTCGCTCATCCTCCACCACTTAGTTTTCGCAGAAACTTTTTTTTTTTTTTTTTTTATCTCAGGCAAACACCAAGAGGACTTGAGGGTGTATTTCACACGAGGTTTGCAGTAAGGCTTTAGGGAGCCAACAGGTCCCGCCTTTTATCAGAGGGAGACTAGGCAGGGCCCACAATCTTGCAAGCAAAGTGAGAAAGTGCTGCGAAGATGTGTGTGGTGTGGCTGCTACCGAGGTTTGTGTTGGGACAGGATAGGTGAAAAGACTGGGGCCGTGCAAGGCAGCTTTAGGGGCTGGGGAATGGGTTTACCTAGCGACCGAGGCACTCGTCCAAGCTTCCTCCAGATGTCGAGGAAGGGCCTTGATCAGTCTCTCCGTTTGCTTCCCATCTTTGTGTCTGTAAGCCGGTTAGTCCGTCAACAAACAGAACTTTGTTAGAAGAGCAAATGCAGGGCACTTGGCGCTACTGAAAATGAAAAAGAAAAGAAAAAGAGACCTACAGGTCTTCAAATCCAATTAAGAAGACAAAACACATACATAGGGAAAATGACTTCGTGACATTCCCTGTCCCCCCGCCACCCCGCTTTTTTTTTTTAACCTCAGGACCTTTTCTTAAAGAACAGGTTTTATAAACAGTGTAAACTGAGTAGTTGTTGCTGAAAGGCAGCAGAAAAAGTGCAGCGGTGGCGAGGGGGCGGTAATAGGTAATCCTGATGACCTTCCCGTGAGAGGTATGGTGGGAATTTCTTGGCCACAGAGAACACGAATTGAGATAAGGGAGAAGACCCAGACCTCTTTCCAGTAAGGATTTGTAAGACATCTCTATCCAAGGAAGACGAACTCCAAATGCAAAATGTTATTCTTGCTAGACGCGAATGATTATATAATCATAGTAAAAGAACCTGGCATCGTAGGAAGGCAGAAGGAATCTCCACGAATTCTGGTGCAAGCTCTTCGTATCCTGTTGCCGGCTGTTGGTTTTTCAGCGAGCCTCCTGAGCTGCACCTAGCCCCACGGTCCGGGAGAGTAGCATTTCTCCGCGTCGCATCTTGCCAGCTTCCTGCTCTGGATGACCACAGAGCAGAAACCCTCCAACGCAACCCCAGCTCAGGACTTCGAGGAGAGCCACCACTGCCCTTTAGGCCCTCCATGCGACTCTGCGCAGAATCTGGCAACTTTAAGAGGAAAAGGAACCCCCAGCCTCAGCTGTTAAACGAATGAGATAGTACAGCCACCCCCTGCCCCACCACAAAAGGCAGACAGGATACAAAGCCCCGCAGAAAGCCCCGCAGAAAACTAATGACCATGCCCCGTCCCGTGTGCCTTAGACCTCTATTCCAGGTCACTCCTTGAGCCCACAGCTCTCTCCCAAAACCCCCGAAGCCCGCTTTGGCTCCCCGCTAGATTTAGGTCAGAAAACAGACACTAACGGCTCTCCTTTGCCTCAGTGAAATTACTAAGTGGAATTTATTGGGCAAGTCCACGCAGGTCGGTGGGGAGAGCCGGTGTCCCCGGCCCTGGCCCCCGACAGCTTTAGAAGCCGGGCACCGGCCAGGGCTCTGGGCGAGGGGTGCCCACAGCCAGGACTCCCCAGCCCCAACCCGGGAGCCGTGGCCGGTCCACAGGGCTGCAGGACCCGCGGGGCCGCGTGGACTCCGTTCCCCAGCCGGCCCTTCGCTTTCACACGATCCGGGGTGGCTGCACCAGCTTGAGCGCCTTTAAAGGGCCACACAAGGCAGCCACTGCTATAAAAATGTTCCCGGCGGCACAGCTGCAGAAGGGGCACCGCTGAGCTGCCGAGAGGAAGCTCGCTCTGCCCGGCTGCCCTCCTGTAGCCCGCCGGCGAGGGGCAGTTCGCGGTGAGGACAGAGAAAGAAGAGGACTGCACAACACTCGCGCGGGCCCTCCGTGAGTATCCAGTTCAGATTTTGCCACCAACTCGCCCAAGAGCCAGGACATGTGCTAATAATGCCCTAAGCCGGTTATAAAGACGTGGAAATTGGGGGGAGAAAAAAAAAAAGGGAAAAAAAGGGTCTGTCCTTCCTGGGATTCCTAGCCAAGGCCAGTCTGCTGTCGTGTGCGTGTGCGTCAGGGCTCTCCGGGCTGCAATGGGGGCTTGAGAGCCGGGTCCCCCGCGCCGGGAAGGGAGCGCGGTGGCCGACACCGCCACCGCCACCGCCCCGGAGTCCGGCGCCGAAACCGCGGGCGGGCGGGCGGGAGGGCACCGGCTAAGGCCGGAGCTGCTTGGCGTGGCACTGTGCGGTGCAGCGGCTGCGCGGCGCGGTGCGGGCTTTTCCCAGGCGCCTCGGGGTCGGGTGGCCACCGGCGCGGCCGCGGGCTCTGAGCGCGACCGGCTCGCGGCGGCGGTGGCGGTGGCGGCGTGCGTGCCAGGGGCTGGGGGCTCCGCCGCCTCTCCTGCGGCTCACCGAGCTCCGCGCTTCCCTCTCTCCAGGGCAGGCGGCTTCGCAGAGGTAAGCCGGGCCGCCGGGCTGGGCGCCGTGCTGGGCGGCGGGGCCGAGGACTCCCGTGTAGCGGGTGTGGGGAGCTGTGTGGGGAGCGGGTGGCCGCCAGGCGGGCCGGAGGGTTCTGTGGAGACTTGTTTTCTGTTGGAAAGCTACTCTGCTGGGGGCGAGGGGCCGCTGCTGCCGCCCGCCAGCCAGCGCGCCGGTTCGCTCGCCAGCCCGCCCGCCTGCCGGCCAGCCGGGCCAGGCGCCCGCTTCTCCCGGGGAGACGGCAGAACCTTTTCTCCCCGCGCCCGCGCTTTCTCCAGCTTGGCTTCCACCGACTTTCCTAATCGCCCGGACCGCATCTGGAAGCTCCGGCTCCGGAGCTGCACAAAGCTCAGGTTTCCTTCGGGGAATGGAGGCAAAAGGGGCTTTTCGGGCCGAGTTCAGCGTTAATTGCGGGATGGAAGTTAGTGAATTTGGACAACTTGCCTCTGCTGCCCAGTCGACCTCAGCTCTCCCCTCCCCCGACACACGCCCACACACACACACCCACGCGCACACCCCTCTCCCTATAAACGCGAGCGGCCGAGCCGCGCGCCGAGTCCCTGCCTCGCAGAGCTCCGGACTTGGAGTCAGAGAGACCTGGCTGCGAATCCCGGCTCCGCCACTTTCTAGCGCTGTGACCTTGGGCAAGTTACTGCACCTCTCCGAGCCTCTCTCACTCTTCTTGTAGCGGGATTTTAGCGCTGACCGCAGGCGGCTTGGCTAGCGAGTAGGCTCAGCCTGCGGCCGCGTCGGATGCTCAGCAGGCGCTAAGTGTTGATGAGGCGCGGGAGTGGCTGCTGCCGGCGCCGGAGTGCGCCCCCGCTCGCGGAAACGCAGCGGGCCCCCGGACTCGCCGAGGCCGACACCCCGCGCCCCTTCCTGCCTGTCCATCCTGTCTCTTCGATCAGTTCCTGATCCAGCACTTGCGGGAACGGACGCTCAGTGCCCCGGTGGCCTGGGTGCTCGCGCCCGCCGTGCAGGATGCTCCCGGCTGCCCCCGGTTCCGCGGTTCCATCTGGGATGCGGCGAGGAGGGCAGCCGAGCTGTCCGCAAACAACCGGCCTTTAGTTTTCAGGTGGCGAAACTGACTGGTCTGGTTAGAACGCGTCCAAGCCAAGCCGCAGTGCTGTTTGGATTTTTAAATTTCTCCTTCTGAGTGAGAAAATAGCAATCGAGATGGAACCATCCGGTTGGTGCCATTTTAACTTTTGGTCCCCCAACAGGTTAAAGATGAGGCCCCCACCTGCCTCTCTCTCCCTTCTGGTTTTCCTCTCCCCTTCCCACCCCTGTCTAGGCGGGAGGGGGCTGCCTGCCCAAGGGAATGCCTGAAGCGAAGAGCGGGCGGCGGGACTGGGAACTGGTGGCCGGGGGGCCGCGAGGCACCAGCCGGCGGGGAGGCACTTGTTGCTCTAGGTTTCCCAGCCGCCTCTCGCAGCCCGTTTTGCAGTGGTCAGCTCCCGGCTTGGAGAGCGGGCTGGGACATTTCCACGTTACCAAGTTTTGCCCTCGAACGGACTAGAGGTTGGTGACGGAGGACAGAAAACCGGGGAAGCAGAGCCAGGGATGCCGATCGAAATGCGATTGCCTCTTCAGACGCATTCAACAACTTACTGAGCGCCTGTGAAGCACAGACTCAGGCTGGGGGTCAGGGTGGGTGGTTGGTCAGTAATGGAAGGCTAAAGATCTGAATGGACGCAGGGTCTCTTCTGGAGGAGCCCCCGGCCTGAAGGGAGAGATGCGGTAAAATGGTCTTCCCCCACGAACTGACAGCAGAATAGAGATAGTTTTTCCTCGTTCTTTTTCTTTTCCTAATGCTTCCCTTTTGGTTTTGCTGTTGTTGCTGCTACTCCTGTTATTTTTTATTCTTTTTGTACATTCGGGTACCAGGCGGCATAAAGGAGAGGAAAGGCTGGATAGCATTGGGAAAACATGGACAGGGCCCCCAGACATTTTTCTTAGGACAGGAAAATTGCCTGATACTGATGGTACTAGGGCTCTTGAAGACGACATGTGTTAGGCTTCTTGTCTGGTGATCACTCGCTTTTGAAATATTTTTCTAAGGTTGCCTCAGAGAAGGAGCAGGGCTTCAATCAAGCAATGACGCGGGACCCAGCAGCTGATATATTTTCCTCATGTTTTAAAAAAATGTTTACCCGTTTCTCTATTTTTTCTCCCTCCGCCCCCCATCCACCCAAGTAAGCAATGCAAAGACTATACGGAGAGATAGTAAGTGGCCACTTTCTAGAAGTGTCTGAGCAGATTCTTAATAACCACTGGGGGGTGGAGAGTGTCATGGAGAATTCTAGCCTCCTTGGAAAGATTGGAGACTATTTTTAAGGTCCTCAAGATTCTTTGAACCAAGAGGTATTTATAAATAAGAAATTCTACATCCATAATTGATCACGAAGGCTAGAATATATGGGGCTTTAAAAAAAAAAGATAGAGAGAGAGAGAGTCCCACTATGTTGCCCAGGCTAGTATCAAACTCCGAGGCTCAAGTGATCCTCCCACTTCAGCTTCCTGAGTGACGGAGACTACAGGAGGGTGCTACTGTGCCTGGCTATGGGACATTTTTTCTTATTTGTAAACAGGTGTCTAGGAAAATAAGTTGAGATTTTCAGAGGTTTGTTTATTTTCTGGTTTGGGGGTATTCTTTTGCTCTTGTTCCCTTATCCTTTGGCACTTGAGCCAGGGAATCACTTCTTTAGATACCATTTGAATCCAGCTAGGTATGATTACCTAGCCAGTGGTCAGATGAGGCATGTGGGCATAGGGGTGCTAGATCCTGCTCCCAGAACTGCTGCTACTTGTCTAAAAAGCCATTGAATCTCCATGCCTCACCTGTCACTATAGATGGGAATGGCTGGACTCAGGTTTCTGCAGCAGGCATCCTAGGAAAGCCCAATGCTGGGGCTGTCTTGGAGGGGGCTTGAGACATGGAGGAAAGTGAGACATTCCTAGCTTCTCTCTGGCTCCAGCTGCCTCAGGGCCCCCAGACCACCCTGATCAGCCTGGCTTCTCACAGCCATGCCCAAGGATATTCTTTGGAGCTTCATGACATTTGCACTGGGGACTTGTTCCTTCCCTGTGCTGCAACCTCTAGCTTTCTAGGTCTTCTTTGCTCTACCTTCTTCCCACATTCGCCCAGTCCCAGTGGAGGCACCAACTCTCCAGCCCGGATGCTAGTAGCCCATTGAGAAAATATGTTACTTACTCAAGGACATTTCTGTCCTTCAAACCAGTAACAGTGCCACCCTCACCCCCACACATACAACTTGGGACTGTGAAGTCCCTCGAATGAGGAAGCAGGGTGTCCATCTTGGTGATATGGGTAGGTGGCTGCCTGGGCACCTGGCCAAATTGAGCACCTTTCCTACCTCAGGCAAAAGTTCTAGCTTGGTCTCCTCCCTGTGCTCAGGTGATCTCTAGTCTTGGCTGTAACCCAGTCACCATCCTTGCCTCATAGCTGCGTGGCATTGTTCTGCTTCACGCTTTGCTTAGTACCTTGTTGGTCAGTGAAGGCTTTTGCCCTTACCACCACTTCTTCCTCACTTGCAGCACAAGAGCTCCAGCTGGCAGCATCATCTTCTGACAATTTATCCAACTTCTGCCAAGACTCTGAAATGCCAACAACTTCAAGGCCTGCACTTGATGTCAAGGGTGGCACCTCACCTGTGAAGGAGGTAATTTTTGCCATTTTACAGATGAGGCAGGGAAAGACAAATTTTCTGGGGTCATGGGCCAGGCCTTCCTAGGTGTGTTACCCAATGTTCTTGAGCAGAGAGGAGACAACAAGGCTATCTCTGGGGAGAATGAGAACAGCTTCTGCCTAAATGTGGTTGGATTGTACCCACTAGGGGTATTGAAAGATGGCAGGGAAGAGAGCAGAGAAATCGAACTGGAGCAAAACCACTCTGCTGAAGAGATTAAAGTGAGGCTGAGAAGAGGGACAAGAGGGGCCATTTTTAGGATGGTGAGGTGGAGGCTATGGGGAAGGAGCTGAAAGCAGTGAACCCACTTATGATGTCACGTGCTCCAGGACTAGAACTGGGGTCTGGCCTCAGTACTCAGAGCCATGGCAGCAAAAGCATGCTTGAGCTGGGAGCCTCAAGGGGGTCCTCTTGCTACCTCTCCACCTCTAGCCCCAAATGAATCTGCTGAATGGTGAAGGACAAGACAGAAGCAGGGTTACTGTGGTGTGCTTTTATCTGTCTTCTAGGATGCCAACCAAGAGATGAGCGCCGTGGCCTACTCTAACCTTGCGGTGAAAGATCGCAAAGCAGTGGCCATTCTGCACTACCCTGGGGTAGCCTCAAATGGAAGCAAGGCCAGTGGGGCTCCCACTAGTCCCTCGGGATCGCCAGTAGGCTCTCCTCCTGCCACCCCTCCCTCTAAATCCCCATCCTTCAACCTGAACCCTGCCCCTCACTTGCTGGCCAGTATGCAGCTGCAGAAACTTAATAGCCAGTATCATGGGATGGCTGACGCCACTCCGGGCCAACCTGGAGAGGCAGGGCCCCTGCAAAACTGGGACTTGGGGGCTCAGGCGGTGGGAGGGGCGGGATCACTCTCTCCTTCTGCTGGTGCCCAGAGCCCTGCTATCATCGATTCGGACCCAGTGGATGAGGAGGTGCTGATGTCGCTGGTGGTGGAACTGGGGTTGGACCGAGCCAATGAGCTTCCGGAGCTGTGGCTGGGGCAGAATGAGTTTGACTTCACTTCGGACTTTCCATCTAGCTGCTGATCCCAAATGTCCCTAAAGATGGAGGAATAAAGCCACCAATTCTGTTGTAAATAAAAATAAAGTTACTTGCAAAGAGACAGGCCAACTAGAGGTGTTCTTCATTGAGATCTAATGATGTGTAGTATGGTCTGATGTCCCTTTAGCAATTCTGAGGCTCATGGTGGGGTTGTGGGTGGCTAGCTGGGAAGGAGCTGGATGGGATGGGAGGAGAAGGGAGGGTGAAGGAGGCTGTTCACTGAATTCCTGCTGCCAGCACCACTGTGGCTATCTCCTTGGGAGTACCTGGTCTCATTCACCTAAGATTCCAGGAACACCATGGCATACAGGGGCTGGTTGGGGACATTGGAAGAGAGACTGATCAGACCCTTGTGCAGCCTCCTTGCCACATGCACATCCAAGTCTAAAGGCACATCCCTGGCCACATGGCACACACTTCACCAACTCTAAAACCACCCCCACCCACCCTCTAGCTTCAATCCAATTGACCCATTAAGGCCATTCCTTTGCCCTCCTGCCCATGTGTAATAGACAGATAGGGCCGAAGAAGGATCCTATGATCTGGGAGCTCAGATTTCTCTGGAAAATGGCAAAAGCCACAGACTCCCATCATTAAACTGTGATTCAGTGTGCCTTCTTCTCCAGGCCCCTCACAAAGCTGCTCAGACCTCCCAGCCTGGGACACTCTGAGCTGGTCTTGAGTGTCCCTAACTCCTACCTTCCTGTCCCACCCAGCCATTTGAGCTGGCCTTTCCATCTTAGAGATACAGATCAGGACTAGGCTTGACAAGTTCAACATTCAGTGATCTATCCCTTCTCTCTCGATTAACTGCTAAGGAAGCAATGGCTTCAGAACCGTGCCAAGTGACAAGGCACTGGCACTGCACTGCATCCTGGCCTTGTGATACTCTGGTAAAGTCTTGTCCTCGTTTTGACACAACCCAATGTCCTGGACACTCTGTCCATGTTTCATACTCCCAGACAGCCTTCTTCCTTGAATGCTGGAAACAACTCGAATCAGCCTCTAAGGACTAGCATCAGGCCTGCTCCCTAGCAAGCACTTTCAAAAGAGTGTGCTAGCTGGGGCGTTTGTTGGATTCGGCACTCCCTGAGCACCTGTTCTAGGCCAGGCACTTTGCTAGACACTGGAAGCAAGAATAAAATGAAGTTTACCTTTGAGAGAGTTCCCCATCTCAGAAGGAAAGACAAGCACAAACATTTTAATAAAACAGCATTTCCTAGAACACAGAAGGAAGTTGCTATTTGATCTCAGAAAAGGAAACAGCTCCATCTGCCTGGGAAGTCTAGAGAAGGCTTCTTGTATTGAACTGGTTTGTTTGTTTTCATATTTCACAAGTAATAAATACATGATCCAATCTTCTTGTAAAAAGTAGAAGCTTTGCAGATAAGGCTAAAGTACCCTTTGACCAAATCTCTCCCTCAATCCTGATTGCCTCCAGTTCTCCACAGAGGTAGCAATTGATTGCCTGCGGTGCATCCTTGTTGGCCTTGCTGTCTGTCCTGACATAAAGGTATATGCACCCATAGAAAGAGTTGGCTTTTGAAATAAGACTTGAATCAGCCAAGGGAAGAATGAGTGAGGGGAACAGCTGTTACACAGGCGCAGGTGCATGAGAGGGGCAACAGTGGATGAAAACCAGGAGTTCAGCATGCAGGCTGTCACAGGGCTGGTGAAGGGGATGAGAACTGATGAGGTTGGAGAAGTTCACAAAAGGCAGAGTCCATAGGGCCATCAGGAAACATGCCTTCGCCTTCATGCCAGCAGTCCTGTGGCTCTGGGAGAATCTCTGGAGGTTTGTAGGAAAGCAAGTAATTAACCAATTTTTAACATCCCATTTTTAAGATAATTTCAATAAAGGTGGATGATCAGATTCATCTAAGGCTGGGAACAGGGAGACATGAGGTTTTGAAGGGGCTGATGAGGCAGGGGTGGGAAAACAGAGAGGGAAGAAGGGAAGCCTGGAAGAAGGTGGGGAGAGCAGAGCAGGCTCGAGGGCCTGGGGTCTGTGAGGAGTACACAGGAACTGGATTGGGGGAGCTAGAAAGGGAGGGGAAGGAGAGACCTGAGCTCCCAGGTCATAGGATCCTTCTTTGGCCCTATCTATCTACTGCACATGGGCAAGACTGGGGGGAGCTAGGAAGGGAGGGGAAGAAGGTTCTCAGAATCTGCACAGCTCCTAGCAACACAAAGGCAGTGCGGACACAGGCATAGGGGCTGAAGCAGAATGACAGGATGTGGAAGGAGCTGAATGCTGAAAGGCTGGAGGGTCCTAAGGTCTCTCCCTTGCTGAGGCCTTCAAAAACACAATTCTGGCCAAACTAAATAGGTCAGCAGGCTGCGTGCAGTGTCTGGTCCTCAGCTTGCCACCCCTGATCTCTATGAGTATAAGCTCTGGAACTCCCAGGATGGCAGTAGCTCTTCAGTGGAGAGAAGCTTGAGCCAGGGGCCAGTGCCTTCAGGATGGGACGTGCTGTTTTGGAATAATGGGGGTGACAGGAGTGCAGCTGGGAGGCAAGTGGTGGTGGGGAATGGTCTGAGCATCTTTAGTTCCTTAATCAAAGTCTCCAAAGAAACAGAACAAATAGGATAGAGACCTGCAGATATATATGAGTTGGCTCACAAAATTATGGAGGCTGAGAAGTCCCACAGTCTGCTGTCTGCAAGCTGAAGAACCAGGCAAGCCAGTGGTGTAATTCGTTGGAGTCTGAAGGCCTGAAAAGGTGGAGGATAGTGATAGTGTAAGTCTTCGTCTGAGTCTGAAGGCTTGAGAACCAGGCATGCAGAGGTACAACAACAGGAGAAGATGAAGTCTCAGATTAGACAGAAACAAATTCGCCCTTCTGTCTTTTTGTTCTACTTGGGCCCTCAGCAGATCAGATTATGCCTACCCACATTGCTGAGGGCAATCTTCTGACCTCAGTCTACCCATTCATCTGCTCATCTCTTCTGGAAACATCCTCTCAGACACACACAGAAATAATATTTGTCCAGCAATCAATATACTTATCCCAGTCGAATTGACATATAAAATTACCCATCAAACCTAGAGAAGGTGCTTCTGAATGAGGAGGGAGAGCAGGAAGTTTGGCATGGAAGTGGCCAGAAATGTGGCCAACTGAGCAGCCTCCTCTCCAGACAACTTGGAGGGAAAAGGCATGGAACATACTGAAGGAAGAGCCAAGACCCTGCACAGGGGAAGATGAGGAGGACATGGGTCAGTAATTGTTTATTGTGAGAGAAGGAGAAGGAGTAAGGGAGCTCCACAAGGCACAGTGGAGGAAAGGCAGGCAAGTCTCAGTCCTTGTCATAGAGGTCATGTTCAGACCTCTAATGGCACAACCAGAGATATTCATTCATTAGGTTACCAGAAGATTCCTGAAGCCAACTCCAAGTCCTGGTCTGGGATAGGCCCTGGGAGCTAGGAGGCAAGGTACCCAGATGTACACAAGTAAATAACACTGTCAATCTGCAAGGAGCTTGCTGCTCAGCACAGGGCTAGGAGGCAAGGTTCTCAGATGCACACAAGTAAAGAACACTGTCTACTCTCAAGGAGCTTTCTGCTCAGAACAAATGTGTAGCCAAGAGTACCTCGTAGAGCTCAGAAGCAGTGCTGCTCCCTAGGGACAAACTAGGGAGAACCCCGTTCCTGGTCTGAGGAACTCATCACTCAGTGGTGGAGATAGCCATAGCCTTGAAGGATGAATTGTATTTTCATAAAGCAGCAATGCTGGTGGGGGCTTGAGGGGATGTAATGGCCTCCAGGCTGAGGGGGCAATTGGAGCAGAAATAAAAAGATAAAATCAGGGCTTGATATAAACCAGAACAAAATGTTAGAAAGCCCAAGGCTTTCTCAAGGAAGTCCCGCAGTTTGATTTCCTCAAAGGGCAGAGAACTGAGAGGAGATAGGGTGGAATCAGATCCTGCAGTTGTTAATACTTTATTCCGCAGGTGAGGGACAATATCTCATTCCACAAATAAGGATTGAGAACCTACTATGTTCCAGGAACAATGCTAAGCACTGGGAATATGTGGTGAGCACATTGTCCTTGCTCTCATGAAACTTCAAGTTTAGCAAGGAGATAGCCAGTAGTCAAGTAATCATGCAGATAATTCAAATTACAAATAATGAAAAGTGATAGAAAAAAAGGTACAGGGCATTATGAAAGGGTATAATGGAGGTTTAATCTCAATTGCAGTGTCAGAGAGGGCCTCTGAAGGTTTTAAATGAAGAAGAGTTGTGGTCAGAGCTTGCATGAGGAAAATTAATCAGGTAATAGTGTGCATGACAAATTGGCATTATGGCGATGCTAGAAAGCTGTGCCAGTGGTCCAGGAAGAATAAAGAAGATGGGAAATTAGTTTATGATAAAACTGTAACATTTCAATGGAGAGTAGTTGTTTAATGGGTATAGAGTTTCAGTTCTGCAAGATGAAAGAGCTCTAGGAATCTGTTGCACAGAAATGTGAATACACTTAACACTACTGAATTGTACACATAAAAATGGTTAAGATGGTAAATTTTATGTTGTGTTTGTAACCACAATTCAAAATAAAATTAAAAAAAAACAAGAGTTAGCATTCCAAAGTAGTGAGGAAATGATGGATTATTCAATAAATTCTTTGGGACAACTGAATACACTAACCCAAACTTGTATCTAAATGAATTCCAGATAAGCCAAATATTTAAAAATAAAAAATGAAATCATAAAAGTAGTAGAAGAAAAAAATGAAGACTTTAAAAAGAAAATTTTGAAATAGGGAGGACATTCTAAGAATGATACAAAACCCAGAAGCTATGGAAGAGGCTGATATATTTAACTGCATTAAAAAATAAAAGGCCAGGCATGGTGGCTCACAACTGTAATCCCAGGCCATGGTGAAAGGATTGCTTGAGCCTGGGAGTTCAAGGCCAATCTAAGCAACATAGAGAGATCCTGTCTCTACAAAAAATTTAAAAATTAGCAGGATGTGGTGGTGCACACCTGGTACCAGCTACTCGGGAAGCTAAGTCAGGAGGATCTTGGACCTAGGAGGTTGAGGCTGCAGTAAGCCATGACCA